ACAGAATCTCAAAACGAAGAGAACGTTCGAGCTGAAGACGAACAAATCGACAAACCTACCGAAAATGTCAAAAGAGGTGTAGGACGACCACGAAAAATTCGTACAGGAAGAGTGGGACGACCAAAGAAGGAGTATCACATGGTACAAGACAACGTAGGTTTCATCGAATCACAAGAAGCTTTTATTGCGGAGGTTCCAATCAAGAGTGCAATATCCGGTCCTGACCGGGCGACGATTGGTTCATTGCAATGAGCGAAGAAGTACGATCAATTCTAAAGAAGAAAACCTGGGTGCTGGTTGACCGTCCCGAAGATAAGAAGGTTATAGGAAGCAGGATGGTATTACGAAACAAATTCAAACCGGACGGATCATTGAACAAGAGAAAGGCTCGAATCGTCGCTCGAGGATTATCTCAACAACCAAGGACTCATTTTAATCAAACTTTCGCACCAGTGGCGAGATTAAGCTCTATCAGACTACTCCTCGCGCTTTCTGTCAACTGCAAAATGTCAATGAGACAATTGGATGTAACGACTGCTTATCTCAACGGAAACATCAGGGAAGAGATTTTCATGGAGACTCCGGAATACTTGATGCAAATTCTAGAGATGATCATCGAGGAAGACAAAGATTGCAGCGATATAAAAACAGAAGCGAATATCATGCTCAAGGAATTAAAAAAGGGGGGAAAAGTCTGTTTGTTGCAAAAATCATTATATGGACTACGACAAACAGGAAGGATGTGGTACGAGAAATTGAACGAAATATTAAGAAATTTCGGAGCGGTTCCGACCAACGCAGATCCAAGTGTATATTTTCATGGATCAGGGGAAGATATACTCATAATAATAGTGTATGTGGATGACATCCTTCTGTTCTCGAAAAATCAAAGAAAAATTTCTAAATTGACAAAACATTTTTCGCTCGATTTGGAAATTAAAGATCTTGGCGAACCGGAATACTGTCTTGGCATCGAATTCGCTCGAGATAAAGACAACGTCATCATTCGCCAGACAAGCTACATTCGAGATTTGTTAGAACGTTTCGGAATGACGGATGCTAAATCAGTAAGCACTCCAATGGATGTAAACGTTAAACTTACAAAACTGGACGAAGATGTGAATGAAGAAATCGACAAATTGCAATATCGAGAATTGGTTGGCGGATTGATGTATCTATCAGTAGGAACCAGACCCGTCATAGCTCATAGTGTAAGTGTACTGAGCCAATTCAACACTTGCTTCAGAAATATCCATTACACAGCCGCCAAACGAGTCCTACGATATTTAAAAGGATCAGCCGATCTTGGGCTCGTTTTCAAGCCTAGCAAAGAATCATTACAAGGATACGTCGATGCTGATTGGGGGAGTTGTTTAATTGCCAGGCGATCCTATACTGGATACGCGTTTATTCTCGGTAGCTCTGCAGTGTCCTGGGATTCGAAAAAGCAGAGAACGGTGGCCCTATCATCCACTGAGGCCGAGTATATGGGCCTCACGGAAGAAGCCAAGGAGACCATCCACCTTCAAGGTTTTTTGACGGAATTGGGATTTAGAGACCTTGCACTTACCAGAATTTTTAATGACAACATGGGAGCTCAGCGATTAGCGGAAAATCCAGTTTACTATGCAAAAAGTAAACATATCGACATAAGACATCACTTTATTCGAGAGGTATTAATGAACGAAAAACTGACTCTTGAATATGTTTCGACTAAGAATATGATTGCAGATTTGCTGACGAAGGCATTACCTGCTCCAAAACTTCGACGGTGTGTGAATATGCTTGGACTTGGACTTTTGAGTGCGCGTTAAGTGAATCGACCCCGCTTCGAGGGGAAGTGTTGTAAATAAATAAGTGCATTTTATTTTTTTAAACGATTCGCGGTCTTTTTAAAGAACATTAACACCGCCCTCTATATTTTTTGTCAACGACGCGGATGCTCGCGTACTTCCGACTATCAGTTCCTTGCAGACATCTGTACAAGACACATGTTCTACAAATCTTTTGTTACAATATATTCTTGTGTAATTAAACTTCATTGTTTTATTTAAAACCCACAGCGTATCTGCTCACAAAATTGAAAAAATTCAAGATAGCTCATTTCAAAGAGTACTAAAAGAAAGAAAATGTTTAAAAAAAAATTTAAGATGCAAAAGCAAAATAATTTCCGATTTGGCCTGGAATGCCCCATATATAGTTATTTTTTTATTAAGTATGTTACATTTCAATTTATAATTTTAGCACTGCACATTACGGTCCCCGGGTCCCACAATTCAAAAGGAAGTTGAAGTAAAATCACTTCCAAGCTTGCGTGGCTATGCGGTATGCGTATTCGACTTGTGTCCTCTAGGTCTAGGTTTCGATCCCCCGTGCGTGCGAAATTTTTCATTCCTAGTTTTAAGTGTTCTGTGTATATTGTATAATTCTGAATATTGTTACATAAAGTATAAGTTTAAACAATTATTAACCCTTAAACCGCACCCTGGGTGTGCGACACCCATATTCTAGCTTTTTACTCTAATATTTCGGTTAAATTCGTAAAAATTGAACATGTGTCGTTATTGGACGATACATTTTGTACTTAAGTTTATGTTCCGTGAGGGACATTAGTCTCCCAAGTGTCTTTGTGTATTTGATAACTTTATGAAGTTGTCGGCGAAAAATTTCTGCTTGTTTGACACCCAGTTTTTGGTTTAGGGTAATTTCAGTAGTTTTAAAAAACTCTTTTTTAATTATTAAAATTAAATAAATCATTATGAAACTTATTTTCCTTCAAAATAGATGTACTGAGCTATATAAGATAATTTTTCCAAAAGATAATATCCTATTCCAGCTTGGAGAACACACTTAAAAGTCCCCGGGTGTCGCACACCCAGTGTGCGGTTTAAGGGTTAACAATGATAATAATAATTTAGTCATTAATTTAAATAAATAAGATAGTCTGTTTAAATTATTAAAGAAAATAAGAAAAATATTTTTTAAAAACTTATTGCAAAAAAAGATATTCTATTAATTATTCATATTTTTATTCATACTCATAAACATTTATTTGTTCTATGCAACTATTAAATTTCTACTTGTGTATTATTTATGATAAATCGTTTTTGTTATAGAATTGTTATATATTTGTTCCAAAACAATGTTCTAGTTTTGTTCTAGAATTGTTACAGACTTTGGTTCCTATTTTGTGCCTCCAGGGGGACGACATTTTGACCTGCCTGTTCCTCACCAGTTACAGAACTTGTTCTTTTTGTTCTGGAATAGTTATAGAATTATTCTGTAACTTTGCACACTGGGTATCTGTTGATGAGAAAAAATAAGTACTTATACAAAAATAATTAATTTATTATAATATAGATCTATGGAATGATCTTGATAACGTCCTTCTTTATTAATTATTTAAAATGTTGGAAAAAACGATAGAAACACTATAGTTCACTTTTTGCCATGTGATGGCAATTTTTTGCCTTCAATCATGGCTTTATATAACATTTTTTTTAGTTTATTTAATATTTTTTTAAAAAACATCAAAAAAAGAACAATTTTTTAGTTTTATTTTTTATAAATTTAGTAAAGCAAAATTTAGATTTTTGCTTTACAATATGAAACCCAATTTTGTAGGTTATAACCTCAAATAAAATTTTTTAATTTGAAAAAGTCAATTATTATAATATAAAGTGATATGTAGTAAAATATAATAAATTCTGAAGAGGGAACTGGATCCAGTTCCGAAACGTCAAATTGAAAAAAAAATTTTTTTTAATTGACATGTCCTTTTGGAGATCGTTTTTTCCAACATTTTAATTAATTTATTTCTATAGATATATTAAGTATTTCAATCAAAAAGATTTTATTATTTTATCTTAAATGTTAAACTTTAAATAGTTCTAGAAGACACAATTTTTTATTATTTAACAAATCTTTTATGCAATAAATTCCTTATTTACTATTAAATACTGTGGATAAATTCTTATGTGCGTATTTGAAAGTTGAAAAATTGTATTTTTGACCAAAATTCGACGATCCTGGCCCACTGTGACGTTTATTTATGTTTATAACACATTAAAATTTCATTTTAATCGGTTAAGTAGTTTCTGAAAAAATGAGTTTATTTAGGTTTTTTTCAAGAAAGTAGTTTTTTGAAAAAAATACATTTTTCAAAAATCTGTAAAAAATATATATTAAAGAGGAAACTCTAAGAAATTTTTAAAAACAAAAATTAAAGGTGTAAGTTTAATACAAAGTAAAAAAAAATTTTTTGAAAATTTTCAAATTAATTTTTTTGAAATTTTTTTTTAATTTTGAAATATTTTTTCTAAATTGTCTTATTTATAGGACTAGTGATGATTATATCACTCAGAGTGATCGTTAAATTACACTATTTATTATCTTATTTATGTTTACAACATATATAAATTTCATTTATATCGGTTAAGTAGTTTCCGAAAAAAATGAATTTTTGGTTTCTTTTCAAAAAACTATATTTTTTGAAAAAACAATATTTGTCAAAAATCTGGAAAAAATATATATTGAAGAGGAAACTCTAAGGTATTTAAAAAAAATTAGTGGTGTATCATAAAAAAATCAAAATTTTTTTTTTTAAATTTTGAAATTAATTTTTTTTAAATTTTATTTGGAAAAAATGTTTGAAATTTTTTTTTAATTGTCTTATTTATATTTATAACATATCTAAATTCCTTTTAAATCGGTTAATACCTATTTGAAATTACTTAATTAAAAATTATTATTAATTATTTAAAATTACTTAATTAAAAACCGATTTTTTACTTTCTGAAAAAAATTAGTTTTTTTATTTTTCTTCCCCCCTCCAAAACTCTTAAAGAAAGTTTTAAAAAAATCGGCCCAATACGCGATTTTAATTTAAGTTAAAATCAATTCTGTAGGTGGTGTGAAAAGGTTTTATGCAAAAATTGGAAAGGGCATGTGTCAAAATATATAAAATGTTTCAAGACCACCGTGACTTAATAATTAGTTACCTTTTGATGATTTATTCGGAGATCATCCATGTCATCTAATTTACTTGGCATAGACATACTAGTTTTTCGAATTTTCGATCCGAGACCTATAGTCTCCGTTGTGGACGGTGAATTTGTAGAATTTTCACTAGTTTCGCTCGTTCTTGAATTTGATGTAATTATTTCGATCTCATTGAATGGGGTTAAGAGAATGTTTTCGTCTGTAAATTTTATTAAAATTATTTCAATACATTTTCTCAGCAAAATAAAATTTAAAAACTTTACTGCGTAAATAGTAATTAGCAATTAAATTAGTAATTTATAATAATAATCCCTCACTGCATCGGGACATCCACGAACATCCCTGAAACATCCTAGGGATATTTAAAAAGTCAGATAAAAAACGATATTCTCAATATCCCAATACTGTGAGGAATTATTAAAATATTATTAAAAAATACTAATTAATTTTATATTGATAAATAAGCAAAAAAATGATTATCAGAATTAGTACATTTATATTGTACAATTATATTTTATTATTATTTTGAATTTTATTTAAGGCTAATCCAATGTTTGAAAATTTTCGAAGAACAATGAATAAAAAAAATGAATATAAACAATGTTTGCAAATATTTAATGCCGAAAATACAATTCAATTTGTGAATGCGTGTGTTTAACGAATCTCTTATTGAAAGAGCAAGAACAAGTTTAATCAATGTAATTTATAAGTGCTTTTGATAAAATAGATATGATAAGAGATCAAAAGACTTACAATTGTTTACCGATGGAAAATAATTGAAGTTGAAAAATGAGAGTAAACTTCACTTCGTAATATTGTCTCCCGTAATTAATAACCCTCTAATTTTATTTGAATTTATTTTTGACAAACAATGAATTAAAGACTTGTGAATGCAAATAAAAAAATACAGTTCATTGTGTCTAGAATGTTTTGCGATTCAAAAGAAATAGATGACTTAAATTTATTTGAAAATGAGTCACTTGGAAAATGTATGGAATCTAAGAAGAAATTTAATTTTACAAGAAAGAAATCACTTATTTGCTATGATAGTATGTCACAGTCTGAACCGTCATTGATTTATTATAATACTAATGATCCACAATCAAGTTCATCTGGCTCGAGTAATTCTCTAAGAAATGTATACATAATTTACTAATCTTTAAAAAATTTGTTTTTAATTTGATTTCATAAATTAATTGCTTCGTTCTGCAATGAAAATGAGGTATTTGAGCCAAAAAGCAAACTGTACTTGCCTATATTAAAAAAAAAGAATTAAGTATCTCTTCTTTCAAAGTAAAACTTGAACTAATCAGAAATTTTTGCTCATTCGGAAATAATAATTAATCCGAAAATAGTAAGAGTTGCCAGAAATAAATAAATTTAAAAAAAATGAATAAATTGTACTTTGTATTATGCAAAATATATATTCTAAAATTTATTTTGATATTGATTTCTAATTTATCAATGGTAAAATAATAATAAAATTTGCAAATTTTATCTAAACAGAAAAATTATTTTCATACTCAGGAAAATTATTCTTTGCGAAATAAAAGACAAGAAGAAAAAGAAAAGCAATCGCAAATAATTTGTGCGTCTTACGTAGTGGGATATGAGAATGTAGATGGTGATAATGATGAGGAAGAAGAAGAAGAAGATAAAGAAATGTTAGATGTGGAATGCACTTTAGCAATTATAAAACCGGAAGCTGTAAATTATCGTAAAGATATTGAGCGTATAATTTACGAAGATGGTTTCGAGGTGCAACAGACGAGATGTTTGCAACTGAGCTTAGAGCAAGCATCGACGTTCTACTCTGATAGCTATGGGCAAATTAATTTTCCTCATCTCGTTGCGTATATGTCTTCCGGACCAATTGTCGCGATGATATTAGGCAAGCATCAGGCCATTCATGAATGGAGAATCTTAATGGGGCCAAAAGAGGCAAATGATTCATTCTTTAATTTCTTCTATATTAATGTTTCTCTAGCTGTTATGTGTAACATTGAATATTTTTCAAATTGAAAATCTCATTTTTCTTTTTAATATTAAATTTACATAATTAAAACTTAATATCAGTAGAGTTGAATTCAAAACTTTCATTAATCTATCATAACTGTTAATTAAAAATGTGATGCTATTCACGGAAAAACCTTTGAGAAGTCTGCCTTCCCACTGTCACAAAATTTCGCTTCTCACTGCATGGAAAGTCTGATCGCCCGCCACTGGGTGCGTAGCATTACCGTTTTCGATAGACAAACTTCCCAAAAAGTTTAGAAAATTACAACTGGGTACGTTGGTCACCCAGTTTGGGAGTGCAGATGAACAAGTTTAGTGGTGGCGCTGACGCATAAGTTTCGGGTGAGCAGACTGCTTAAAGGTTTTTCCGTGTTGAATACTAATCACTGGTTTCAGTTTAAAGTTTTTGTTCAAGTTCATATACATGCTCATGCACAAGTCCAAGTATCAGATAGATACTTGGTTTTCATAGGTACACAAATTCCAACAACAGTAGATAAAACAGTGAAAAATAATGTACGAGAAATCGTAGATGATCACATATGAAAAATTTTTCCATTCTGGAACGATTAGATGTTCATGCACATTTTCTTGACAAATTTTTCTTAAACTGGAACAATATTTTGTTCAAAATTTGAATGCTGCACAGCAGTTTTCTTGATCACTTACGGCTGTGCAGTTTATTCTACAATGCAAGGACAATAAGATTGATTAAAGAGTTACACCACAGTATACATTTAAAAAAAGATTTTTTTATTAGCTTAAAAAATTCTTTGAACCTTCTAGAATAAGAGACAAAAGGTTTTATACATGTCCAAAATTGATTTCATTGAAATTCCAAGCTTTTTTAATGAAAAAGAACTTTACCTTGCAGAAAACATGCATTACGAGAATGGTTCCAGTGCTGCCATTTTGAAATATTTATTAATAAAAATTTGTAATTTTTTACTTGAAAACTTAACCCGGCGAGCGTAAGGTTTAATTTTGTAACACCGAGCGTAAGGCAGGGTATATTTTTTAACCTGCAATGATTTACTATTTGTATATTAAAAAAACCTTGAAATCATGGAAATTTTTTACTATAATTGTTTTATGTTGTCTAGCAATCTAATTTATTAATTTACGATAAATTTTTCATTTGTTTAAACAATTGATTATTTACAGCATTTTCAAATAAAACTGGAAATCAACAAATTTCTATAAAACAATTAACTTTTTTTAGTACTACATATTATTAAATTAATAATCCAAATAAGAAATTTAGTTAAACTGCTTACAACAATTGCATAAAATTGTTTATATAAACAATTCTTGTTATTTATTAACTTTTTGCCCATTGCACCTAAAAAGACACAGTTTTTTTAAATTTGCAACTTATGGAGCAAAACCGGATCATAACCGATAAATATTAAATATCAAATCGATATTTTAGCAATTGTTTAAACAATTACCCATTGTACATAGAAAGATGCAGTTTATTTCTACACTGTAAAGCCTGCAGCCTGCCCAAAATTCTTTCAGTGTAATTTTGCAATTTTCGGACTCCCTTATAATAACCGATAAATATAAAATGTCAAATCGCTACTGAATAAATAACAATTATTTATTTAAACAATTGCTAAAATAGCGATTTGATATTTAACATTTATCGGTAGTAGGGGAGCGTGGGGTAATGGGAGCTTTTAAATTTCACGCACTTAAAAGCCTTCAAATTCGCTGCAATGTCTAGAAAATCTTCTACAACCTTTGTTTATATCATTCAAAAACAAACGATTACATTCTTGACAAATTTTTAGTAAAGACAAGGGAAAATATATTTTTTGAGTTTTCGTTGTAAAATGCAAAATATTTCTAAACATCACCATAAGTAGTTAAAATCGTACTATTTAGTTCTGTTTTTTCATTATATTATAGGTGAATATGTTTAGATATGTATACTTGTATAAAAATCGAAATAATAATAAAATTTGTTTATGTTTTTATTTAAAAAAAAAAAAAAAAAAAATTCTTTGGAGTAATGGGAGAATTAGTGTCAGACCAAAGAATTTTCGTTACTATGTTGCGTCTTTCGTTATTTCTTTGAAAATTGTAAAAGATATCACCTTATGAAAAAACTTTTAATTAAAAAATAATTTTTGGTGGAAAAAATGAAAAATTTAATTTTTTTTCAAAAATTTTTTATTCAATTATAATTTAGGAAAAAATTTATTCTAAGTGTAAAGTTTTGGCTTCATTGTAAGTATTAACACTTTTTTCTATTAGAAAACAAAAAATATTCCTAAAATATAGAAATTTTTTAAATTTCACGTGAAAGCTCCCATTACCCACAAATTGGGTAATCGCAAAAGCTGTATTTTTTTGAAAAATTTTTTTTCTTAAATTTACTTTCTCTTTTTAAGTTTCTAATTAAACATAATTAAAGATAAATAACGAAATGAATAGGAAATAACGAAAACAATGTATTATTATAAAGATAAGTTGGTTTTTTAAATAATTTTCCTTAAGGGGCTCCAATTCCCCCACGCTCCCCTAATCAGTAGGTCCGAATATTACAAAATTAGAAAAAAACTGCATCTTTTTATGTGCAATGGGTAAAAAGTTAATATATCACAACAATTAATTGTTTAAACAATGTTAAATAATAACTATAGCAAATTTAATTTAATATTTTATTTATTAATTTAACATTAAATAATACCAATAAAAGCTGCCAAATTTATTGAAATTTACTGTTCTCTATTTTGTTTTTGGAATTGTTATAAATTAGCGATAATAAATTGTTTAAACAAATGAAAAGTTCATTGTAATAATAGTAAAGTACATTATTTATCCTTAATAACTACTCATAACATTATTACTGTATATTCTTTCCTTACATTAAAAAAGATTATTGAAAAAATGCTTTTTATAGTTTACTCAAAATACAGTTTTTGATATGGGCACAGTATAACTCAAACAATTTCCCCAAAGAAAATGTATATTTTAGAATATATATTTATTATTATTTAAAGTGAAATATTTTCTTTATTCTGTTCAACTGAATCAAAAAATTAAAAAATTGCTTTCTTTATGTAGGAGGAGATTGAATCTTATTTCTATTGGTCTAAAATATGCATTTTCTCATTAGGGTTTGGAACTATATGTTTTAGTTTTTACAAATTTAATATTTTCTCCATTTTATCA